ACCATTTGTCAATGGGTCCATAAACCATCCAAGCAGGAAATCTAAGGATCTAAGTGCAGCATCTTTGTCTTTCTTTGTCTCAGAAAATGGCACCACCCACAGTGACACCAACGTTATTCCTATCAATCCCTTTTGAGACGTCTGCACATGTCACAACGTTTTGCTAGTCAATTAATGTTTTATCTCATTATAACTGCACACATTTTCCTTAATGTATACGTAAAATATCGAATTAATAGGGTCATTGTTGTTGTAGATTACCTGATATTTTTCCTTATATAACTTAACGGCAGTTGCATGAGCAAGAAGTTGGTTGTGTGTGACCAAATATGGCTCAACTCCTGAATCTCCCCCAGTGCAGTTGCGTTTTAGCCACTCAGAACATCGTCCCGGTGCCAAATCCCCAGTTGCATAACCAGCCACACTTAAGGCTAATGGCTCATTCAATGTGATCCAGTGCTTCACCCGATCACCAAATTCTTTAAAACAAAGCTCTGAATAGTCCTTAAAATGCTTCCTGCATTCATGTAACAATGTTATTGATGATCCCATAAGATTTTACCAAGTTATGTTCGGTTCATTTTACAAATTGATCAGAGGTACTATATATATAACATTACATCACTTACACAACTTGAGGACTTAAGAAGCCACCATATTCATCTTCCAAGGTTTGCGGAAGATCCCAGTGAAAGAGTGTCACAAAAGGCTTTATACCTGCATTCAATAATTAATAGGAAAAGAAATTCAATTACCATTATCAGTTTTTGACGACTGTATAATGATGATATAAGATTAATTTATAGAAATTACCATTGGCAAGGAGTTCATTGATGAGGTTGTTATAGTATCCTATCCCTTCCCTGTTCACACCCCCACTTAGTTTCCCATCTGAAATAAATATATAATATATCATCAGTTTAATAAATTGAATTTAATTAAAGCACCATCAAATTGGTCCCAACCACCAACAAGATTATTGTAATAGCCAAGATTGATACATGCGACCAACTTACTTGGTAGCACTCTGGACCATGAGATAGAAAATCTATAAGCATCCAAATTCATTTCTTTCATAATCCCCACATCTTCCTATTAAAAAAAAAATGTAACTAGGAATCAATGGATGATGTTGTTTCGCATTATTGTCTCAGAATTAATTTTTAATTAAAATAAATCATATACTCTTCTTTTGGATTTAGTTAGATGCCGCTGTACCTTATAGCGATGATATGAATCTATTGCGATATCTCCATTGCTACCATCTTTTATCTTACCTGCAAATACCCATACAAATTTAAAATTTAAAATTTAAAATATTATATTAATTTGATTACTTATTGGGCTAAAAAATCAATTATATTCGTAGTTGGCCTATTCTTAAACAGAATGATACTATTATATTGTCTTATATCACTCGTCCATAATACTCTGTTCTGCCGGCATCAAAGGGAAGGTATGCTTTAAGCTCTTCCGAACGGCAGTCATCGTCACTTAATTGAATGATATGACTTACCAACAATCATTGACGCTAGGCTTATAAATTCATTTCCTATTATTGTGCATGCCATGCAGGTGCAGCCATTAACTTTGTGTTAAAAGAAGAATAAGAAAAATACCCGGGTATTTATGGGTGTACGTATCCCATATACTTGGTCCTCTGCCACCTTCATTTGCCCCACCTTCATACTGAAATTCACGTCGGGGAACATATATAGATATGACATCTCAAATGATAAAGGAAAATCTTATGTTAAGGTAATGTTTCCTAGTAGACTTATGTTGTCAGATATATGCTTTTGTTATTATAAATCAATCTAATTGACAGTTCACATTTATAGTCGGACAAGATAAGCATTTTAATGTTGACATACAATGTGACAAGAGAACATTTCCTTACAATTTAGACGCAAAAGTTGAAAATTCAGGTAGCAAACTACTTTTTTACCTGGTAAGATGATGAAGCTGTCCCGAATATGAAACCTGACGGAAAACTGCTCCGATTGAGGAATGAAGTGTCGTAGAGACTACCACTTAGACTAGGTGTTATAACTGACTTACTACTCCTCACTATAGAGGCAAGGAAAATTACTATGAAGCCTACAAGTAGTAAAAGAAGAGAGCCTCTCGATCTGGATGCCATAATTTACTTTGGTTAATTAGGCTATGCATTTTGGGCTCTGTAGCTGCAGGCATTTATAGACAGATGAAGCACATACATGATGAGAAAAATACAATAGAACAAAGACAAGGAGCAAGACAGATAACAACAAAACAATTAGTCAGAAAGTACTGATCTTCCATTTTGATTAATTAATTAATTAATTAACAATGACAACATCAATTGTATTTGATACTCTGAAAGTTTTGTGGTTAACTCATTTAGGTTGTTTATGATATTTTCTATATATTCTGTGGCGAGGGACCGAGTCACCGAGGCATTATGATGCCAGCACCCTGGCCGGCAAGTTATGCCTAAGTGTGCGCATCAGCTCTAACCAATTTGGTTAAGCCCATATCTGCACTAGTCATTATAGTATTTAACTGAAAACTCTTATTTGATGCAAACATGAGGCTAAACACAATACATTTGCATAATAATTACATTATTAGTTAATGGCAACCTTTGGATCAATCGGATACTGTCAAACAAAGTAGGGTAAATATTTAGTTATGCTAAGATACGCTCATATATGCTCATATATGCTCATTCTTCTCCAATATGGAGGTATTTATACAAATACAAAGATGTGTTAACCCTAAATAAGATAGGAAATAAATCTAAATTACAATAGAAAGTAAATCTAAATTACAATAGGAAATAAATCTTAATTATAATTGGACTAGACAAATAGGTAAGTAACTAAAATCCTAACATAGTAAGGAACCAAAATCCTAACTAAGTAAGGACTCGCCAACACTCCCCCTCAAGTTGGGCAAAGATATTTCGCATGCCCAACTTGACAAGCGAGTCATAGAACACCATACTTGAGAAGCACCAATTGTAGAGAAGGTCTTTTCGTCAACCACGAGTGAAACACGTGACAAACTAAAGCAAAGTTCGCAGCGGAAACACAAGAGCAAACCCTAAAAAATAGGGCACATAGCAGAACACAGAAGCCCTGTGAGCACG